TTTTGAAATTTATAATTTTTTTGAATAAATTGATAAAACTTCTAGTTAGTTATTGAGCTCCAACTTACTCATAACTAGTATTTAATTTTGTGCATTTGCACATATATAAATAAAGTATTATGAGTTATTTGTATGCATATAATATTAAAATTATAAGTTAGATAATAATATCATATTTTAAACATAGAGTATTATAAGTTATTTGTATGCATATAATATTAAAATTATAAGTTAGATAATGTTATTATATTTTAAAATGTGATCACTGATTAAAATAAATAGTACATAACGATTTGGTTGCATATGAATCACTATATTGATTGCATAAAATGTAATTTTTAAAATTTTAAGGCATGACCAATTAATTAGCTTGAAAATATTAAATGTAGTGTAACAATTGCTTATGCAATTTTAAGGAATTTTACTATGACATTAAAAAAAATTAATTTATTTAAAAAATAATCACTTAATTAGATTAAAAAAATATAATATTGATTTTAGAATAAATAACTTGAACAAAAAGTTTTAACAATATATTTTTCTATATTTGTGTGTTTTTCATATATCATTTAGGGTAAAATATGATTATTATTTTAATAATAACTATTATATGATACTTAAAAAAATTATTACTCAGTTAATATAAAATATAATGGTTTTTTGTCTTAATTAACCTAAAAAGTGCAAAGAAATATTTTATCATTAATGGGATAGGGTGAATTAATGTAATATAATAATAATAATAATAATAATAATAATAATAATAATAATAATAATAATAATAATAATGAATTGTAACTGTTTTTATGTTAAAGTTGCCACGTAGGTAAAATTTAATGTTTAGCTAGCAATTATATATATATAGATCATTGTTGCTGGAAAATCTTATCATTTTAATAAATATTCATATTTTAATACTTACAATTTTATTTTTAAATACATTAACTAAATTTATGATATCTAATAAAACATTCACTTTTTCATAAAATAAGTATTAGATCAGTCATGTTGCTTATCACTTATTTCTTATGTACCTATAGGTGTTATCCATTTCATTCACCAATCCAACTTTGCCTGTCATTTTAGTTGGCATGAGATGTATATTTCCCATCATTAATTTTGATTAGAATAAGGAATAAAGTGTCATTTACACTAAATAGTAAATAAATGAATCACTGTAAACTTTACTGAGGTTGATATGAAAAGGACATCTACATTAAATATTTCAGTGAATGTCAATCATTTTGTTTAAATTATAGCTCAACAATTGTTTGAAGTGATTATTGTGACAGGTGTGACATTGTGCACTTATACACTATATTTTCTGGAAAATGAAAAATAAATTAGCCTTTTAAACTGGTGCACAGACCACAGAGTTAGAGATGTCAATATTACTCCATTTATTGTTGACACGGTACACTCAAAAAAACACAATAATATATCTTGTTTCACATTTTATTGCAGACAAAATTATTCAAGAATAAAGCATTTTGCTTGCGTTAACAGAATAGTGCATCACATTTTCTTCACACAAAATTAATCTGAAATAAAACTATGATGCTTGTATTTATTCAATTTGGTTCATATCTGAGATATTTAATTTGAAGTCATAGTCATGTCTTGATACATTCAAACAAATAATGATAATTATGATACAGAAGAAAAGAAATAAATAAAAATAAAACAAAAGAGCACCATAAATCAGATTTTATTGTGCACTCCATGCTAGGTCAATAAAATGTATGTTTAAAATACGATGCAGCTGTGTGTGATTGTGTATGTTTAATCACACATTTTAGTATTTTAGTAATTTCTTTCAAAGCAAAACAGCCATGTAAATCATGAAAAAAAAAATAAAAATCATATTTTTGGTCCTCTGTAATTGAAAAGGTGCCCAGAATGCAGCCCTCACAGCACAATATTCCAGCAGTAATTTGCAAAGATGGATTTACAATCAAAACTCATGTATAATACAACAATCTTGATCCCACTATTTGCAAACCAATGGATGTATGCACCATAGACAGCATTGAAGGCCTTACCAGAATTAAGATGATCATGAAATTTACTAATACAATGCCAATTTATCAAGATATTAGGAATATTAAGATATTACGTACGTTTTCATGCTTAAGAAGGTTTAGTTTTTGTCAGCTGCTGGGAAGCTTCAACATACTGTTCAGCTAGTTTCTTCACCTTCTCACCTTCCTTGATGAGAAAATTTGCATTTTTCTCCTTCGAATGGTACTTCATGACTTTCTCGGTTGTTTTTCCCACGGCCCACCTGTACTGTTCAACTGTGATCACACCACTCTTGCAAAGCGGTCTTATGTGCTCCTTAATATATGCTTCAACCTGTAAAAGTTTTAGTCAATAATAAAACAAATAGAATTACTTTCCAGAGTTTACTGGTAACCCCCTGACTTATTGTTTCTATTTTTATAATTTGCAATTATAGTGTTACCTTTTTCACGATCATACTACTATCTGATGGCTTGGTGTCGGCTTTTGCTGTCCTATCCTTCTTCACCGAATTGTTCTTATCCTTAATATTGGAAGGTGATTGGCTTTGGCCCAACCTCTTATCACCACCATTTTCTTCAGATAATCCATCGAACGGCTTATCTGATACGGCCAATGGATACTTTTCAACAAGTGGTTCTTTATCAGGTCCATAGAGCTCTTCACATTCGGCCGCCAAAAGCTCCTTCTCACTATCAACTGCAGAATTTCGAATAAAAGCCTCGTCTTTACTGTTATCAAGATTCGGGTCCCCAGTGCCAGCATCATTCCGAGACTCAACTGGGCCCGACAATTCAGCTAAAGCTTTCTCGTCTGCTTTTTCGGGTTTAATCAATGAAAACAGCAATTTCAACTTTGGCGGCTCAATATGTGGCTTAGAATTGGTATTAAGAGAGCCAGCACCAATAAAGTCATCATCTTCCAAACTATACTCGAAATCGCCGTAAATATCGAGTTCCGAGTGAGGCTCGGCCTCGATAACGTTCTCAGGTCCCTCGTCATCACTGCTATCTGCAGAACATACTTTATAATTATTATTATTATTATTATTATTATTATTATTATTATTATTATTATTATTATTATTATTAATATCCTCTGTTGGATGATTTGGACTAGTTGGAGGGGAATCCGACACGAGCCCAGCTCTTCTCAGTGCTTCTTCAACTCCCAAATCTAAAGAGCTACTGGCAATATTATTATTATTATTAGATTCTTCAGTTGCTGCTGCATCTGAGGGGCATTCTGAGCTACTGTTAATATCATCTGCTCTTCGTGATAATTCCTGCGAGCACAAATTGAGGTAGACGAGCTTGCTGTGTGACCTGTCGGCAACTTGTTTTTCGATATTAACTGCATCTGCAACGGCTAACTCTGTCTCGGCAGATCTGCAAATGACCGACACATTTGCTTTCTTCAGGAAGTGCTCAGTGAGGCGATAAAGTTGAGTCTGCATAACGGATACTGGTTAATTTTATGTAGAGAACTATGTTTAAAGCTATGAATTCAAAATTAATACTTACTCGAGCCACAGAACAGACAGGAGCTTCAATATAAGACGAAGTACAGGATGGAACTTGAAGATGAGGGTTGATAAATTCATAAATTTTGATGTAGGTGTGGTTGATTGATAATAGATTGTGCAATTCAAGGAATTCAAATATGTTAAAATTATGTGATAATACCCATCCACAGAAAGAAGGGTTCTGAAGGACCAGCAGATTCTAAGTGTTGGAATTAGATGTTGTCGTTTCACTTGATTCTTTCGTCACATTGTGATATTTTTCGTCATTGAATGAACGCATTTGAAGACACTTTGGATGATGAGCTCATAACAAAATGTGCAAAAATTACAATTCCAGATAAAAAAAGAAAAGAAAAGAAAGATATTATCTGAATTGATATCCAGAAGATAACCGGAGGATCCCTTCCGTTATCTAGGATCCGTTCTTCAGAGGTCACCTATATATGTTTAAACCTATATTCTCATTTCACGACTAATGCTTACATGCAATTGCATGAGCAGCTAAATATAATGCCAAATCCGTATCAATTCTCGATTGCTTCATATACTCCCACTACTGGAAGGATAGATTAAACTAATCCCACAACAGTTTTTCGCTTTTCTTCTCAATATCATACAAGGCATACTGGCAGCATAACAATTATTCAAATTCTTTCAAAGTTGAGAAAAATCAATTCCCAAAGCCATAAAAAGACAGAGGTCAGCAGCAGGCATAAAGAAAATGGAAATTTTACCTGCCTGACTGATACGGGGATTTTATTATGACGACTGGCAGCCAAAACAGGCCGCATTTCTTTCGGTAGTTGAGCCTGGGTGACAATAAAATTGAGGGACATTTTCGCTTAAATAACAACTTTTAACAGGAAGGAAATAACATCACGTCACAACTTACCAATAAGGTAAAATTCCCTTTGAGAATCGCATTGTCCTCTTCTTTCTCTTGCGTATTCTTGCCGGGGACTGCAGTTTTTCTAGCCAAAAGTTCTAAGGCCCACTGTCTTTTATCACCCTTTGCCATGTCCGATTTAGTTGTCTTTTCCTTATCCAAAGGTGCCTTCTTACCACCTAATGCAGAAGCAGGTGTCCCTTTGGATACAGATTTCATTTCCGTAACACTCTTCTTCGTCTCTTTACCATCCAAAGGAAGAACTTTCGACTGAGATGAACTACCGAGCCTCAGCGAATTTGCCTCAGACTGATTACTGGTCGAAGGTATAGAGTTATTTCCAGTCAAACTACTTCCTTTTTTCGGTTCAGGAGTTCCAGAAGCTCTGAGGTCCGCAACAGGTTTAATGTCATTCTTTCTAGGAAAAACAGATGTATCGGCTAAGTAAACTCTAGACAGAATTGAACCCTTTGTCTCCACCTCTTCATTATTCTCAGGCGTTTTCTTTTCTTGAAGATTATTATCTCTCAGGACATCAAGAACCGATTTCAATGCCTGGATTTTTTCGGGCTTCGATATTTTCATGCACCGATGCCTCCAGAACTCGACTTCGCATTCCCTGGTCCAAGCCCGTTTCCGTTTTCCCCCGGCCCCGTATATCTTTTTGGTCAGACTCTCACGAACTTTGCCCTTCTGCAACAATGACCTTTTTGCCCTCACATCCAGAGGTGGTTTCCTATTATCTGCACCTGATCCAGCCAAAGCAGCCCGGAAAGCATCCAAAAGCTTCGGATCAAAATGATTTTTCCCAACCTCTTCAGAAGATTTATTACGGACAGCTTCTCTGATTTTTTGTCTAAGCTCTTGAACGAGCGTTGAAGATTCTTTATCATCATTTCCAGCTCTCCTCACGATCTTTTTGACCCTCAACCCGGCGGCACTTTCTCCTTCTTTGCAGGTTGTATCGGAAAAATTTTTATGTCCAGGTTTTTTCAGAGATTTACGATAAGATCCCTGGACAATGTCCCTTATATCAGGACTAGCATTTTCCTTTTCCCGCAAACGTTTTTGTCTGGAAATTGTAGTGGACTCATCTCGAACGAGTGAAGCTGTTTGATCCGTGAGATTAATGATGGGCTGACTATTCTTTTCAGATTTCATTTTCTTTCGAGGAATCTTAACTTCAATATTAGCTTCAGTTCCGCCATCTGCATTTCTATAAGAGGAAAGGAAAAAAGGGAGAAAGGTTGGTCCAACATTAGAAATAAGATGTTGCATTACTTCTGAGGATTATTGAACAAGAAATTTGAGCATGGAGTAAAATGTATGATTTGAGAGGAATGAGATGCATAATAGATGAACATGTTGAAGAATGAAGTGCATATTCGGGAATCAACAATTTTATTTCGTTTTCAAAAAAAAAAACATAAAAAGTCTGCATGTTGCATTTTATATAAGGAAGTTCAAACCCACAAACTATCATCTATATCCATATTTATATAATACAGATGGTGAACTTATGGAAATTAGGTCCCGGCTGAAATGGATTTCTAGGCTTAAACCTAGTCAATTATAAACCTAGTCAATTACTTGTAAGGAAAACTGCAATTACACTACATATACAGCACATCTATAGTCCAGTAACCACATTAATCATCAAGATCAACATGATAACGGTAAAATGATGCATTTAAGACAAACCTGTTATCTCTGTTCTTCCTCTTAGCACATGTAATTCCAGTAATGGTCAGTTTCTCATCAGCCATCATATCGTCAATAATGTCATCAGGCATCGTCTTCTCTGTTGAAGCCATTTCAAACGGCATATACAAAAAACCAAACAAACTAGATTTAGCAGATCGACACATAATAAAATTGCTACTGCTTGCAAGTCCAGATTGTAAAGAATCAATTTTTTCTCTTTCACTAATTCCATACCTGGCTTAGGATCTTGTGACCTGTTATTTGGTTCGGATAACTGAGGCACTTTATCTTCAGCTACATTATTGTCCTTCATGTCTTAGCACATACATAGAAAGAACACAAACATAAACATCTCTAGTTGAGTTTGATCAAATTAATATGGTCGAGAAAAGGTCTAGGAGATACCAAGATCAAGATCTAAACCAGGGTCAGTCATTTTCTCTTTCAAATGTCCCGAGGTTACTTCCACTGAACCATCAGCATTTGTGTTCAGCTCAGCAGGTAATACATCATGTGATGAGCTGCCATGATTATCTCGTGACAAATTCAGTTCTGCTGTTCCTTGTTCACATGAATTATGTTCAACACTCTCTTTATCACCAGACACTGCTTCAGGCTTCGGAGAGGTGCACATAGAACTGGGTAAGAAGGTGTTTCCCATATTTTTATCTTTACAAAAGGCCGAGGCTGATTGACTCGATTCTTGAATCTCTTGATTTTCTTCAATCAGTGATACGACTACAGCTGTCTCACCATCATCAGCAACAGATACTAATACTCTTCCAGATAAAGATGCTTCATCTACAAAGCCACAGTTAGCAACTTCTAAGCCATTTTGAAAGCTTTTTCTTAATACTGAAACATTGTCCGACTCATTTGAACCTTTATCAATACACCTGCATCAAATAGTACAAAAATATCAAGAATAACAAAAAAACGTGAAGAAAATTTAAGAACCAAAAAATATATATGTCAGCTCATCCGATAAATAAGAAGAGTGGGGTGATGCTATAGTGATTTGCATTAATTCTCTCTAAAACTTTTTATTTCAAGTTATCTGCTAAGAAAAGTGTACGGTCAAAGAGCTTTTCATGATCCTCGTAACAAGCCCGGGCTTAACACTCTGTTCTGTCAACTATAAGTCAACCAACTCTGGTGATATGTCGATAATGAAAAAAATCAAGATTCTGTATTGGATTTGCAGAATAGACTAATTACCTTGGGCACAGCCATGAGCTATCACAACTGCCTTCAGGATCAAATCCCACACAAAAAGCGTGATACCTGTTTGGAAGAAGCATTACCAGAACAATTCAGAAGTTCGAACAACCCAAATACAGATGGTGAAATCCAGAAATCTCGATAAAGTCCACTCTAAATTCATTGGTGGAATCCAGAAATCTTGATAAAGTCCACTCTAAATTCTCACACAAATTCATGAAAAGGTAAAGGATACACGTCAATAATGTACTAAGTGGTTCTTAAATCAAGTAAATATTGCTTGTTTAGTGTGTGACTACTGCAACATCTAGCATCAGTAATAGCGTGTAACAAGCAACTATTTTCAGAGAACAATTTACAAGAAGAAAAGGAGAGAGAAAAGGCAAACATGTAAATTATGATCCATGTTTTGAATGAAAAAAAATAAGAAAGGAAGGGACCTAAAAAAGGGTGAACACAAACAAATTGGGAACAGGAATGTCTTTTTACATACCACTTATCACATGAATCACAAGCAATGGATGTATCAATATCTGAATCTTCTTCAATTGACACCGATCCACTACGAATTTTGCAGCCATCTCCATCCATACAGACAACTGCCTACAAGAGAGCATATCAGCTATCAATAAAAACGGATAAGGATACTGAGATGGGCACCATTTAAAAGACCATTATGTAGTTTTCGAAATGCATTAATTCTATCTACATATCATTTCTCCCAAATTTTATCTTCTTCATAGGCTATTATTAGATAAGGCGAGTGATTCCACTACTTATACGGAACTGAAGAAAGTAGGGCGCAAAGTTAACTGATGTTGTTTAATGCCTTCGCAAAATATTAACACAGTGAAGCTCAAATACCTATAGGAGAGATCTCAAAAGACGCAACATTATTATATTCTCTAAAGTAACACCATAGTCTTCAAAATGGTCGTGATGTCATAGAGAATAATAGAAAGAAGACCAAAGAAAGCAGAAGAAGATTTCACAAGCATACCATCAACTTACATTCTCATCGATATAGTATGAGGGAAAAGTAACATTGTTACTTTTCCCTTCAATGAACCAGTCATCATCTCTGCAACAAATAAAGAAAGTTCTAATAACCCTCTGCAGAAAGAACAAAGTACAAAAGTAGAAGTTTTGAAACATCACTAAAAGATCCATTGCATAGAAATTGAAATTCAACTTTCTACAAATATATTGACTATCTCAAATTCCAATAACATCATTCGGCCTGTAATATCTCCAATCTTCCTTTTGATAAAAATGAACATGGATTTCATCAAGATGATAGGATAAACAAAACAAATTTGGTACGGAGAGTATTAAATGGACTATAGATAAATATCAACACTATACTTCCAATCCTAATAGTAAGCCATTCAAATTGAAAGTTGAAACTTCAAAAAAGACAACTGATCAAGACCCTTTATCCATCCTCCCAATTCATCAAGGTTCACACTAACATAAAGTCATCCATCTTATCTCTAAACACGAACAGAAAAATCTGTGCATCCTTCAGGCTTCATCCCTGAATCCGTGTTAGATGACAATAGAAAAGATGGTATACAAAGTTCATACCACAGAGACTAAGAGCTACTGGATAATAACAAAATAAGTGTACCTTGGATTTGTTTCATCATCAGTCTTGTTGCCACCGACTGTATCATACACCTTCATTGATCGTTTATAACAGATAAAAATTCACTTATGCCAAAAAAATTCAAAATAAAAACATATAAACATCAAGCAAACAACATTTAATAAAGGGGAAGCAAATGTTAAAACTGTCAGAATAAAGCAAAGCGAATTTTGCATCGATAGTTGCTAAGGCTAAACTAATATATAAACCAGATAAAGCAACAACAGATAAGGAAAAAGAAAAACAAATAAATGGACCAAAACAAACAAATTCGGTTACTCACTGGCACACATGTAATCAGTTGAAATTCATTCTGGCAAAGAGGACAGAGGCTTGTGATGGTTGCCCAGTTATCAATGCAATCAAAACAGAACCTGCAACAAGTGAGCACGGGATCAACAAACACTCAACTACAATAACCAAAAATTAATGCGCCACTATTTAGTTAATAAATTCAATTTTTGAAAATATTAAAAAAAAGAACCTGATCAAATAATCCTACCACATTTACTAACAGATAATAGCAATTAGCAAATCAGAGACCTCATACAGTGCTTCACAAGGGTGCAAACATTCAGTCAGTGTATACTTTCTGCTAAGTATGTGATTTCTGTTTAGGGGTGTGCACCCGTTGAAAGCCAAGTCATTCGGTACAGAAACAAAGTGTGAGACATAAAATCACTAGCTTAATATATAGAGAATTTCCCAAATTTATCACACTTTTATCAAGAGCTATAAGCATAGACCTGTCTTAGAAAAATAATTAATTCAAAGTTGTAGATGGAGAAACACAAAGCCAGAATCACCTCAGAAATGAAGAAGTCTAACTACCACTATATAAATATCTTGACACACGAATGCAGCATTAACAGACATCATATATAACAATGTGCAGGTCAAATTCTATGAAGAACTGCTTTCTTTGGTAAAATCGAATGAATGACGAATACGCAAATGTTTCAGATCTCGCTCCAACAAGATTTTCCATTGTGGAGCAGCTGATTGTCCTTTTTCTCAAGCAACTAAATACTTTTGGATAAGGATTGCTCAGACTCCATGGTTAAGCTT